GAGTCTTCCGTTTCCGGTGGGGTATGCCGCCTGGCCGCTTTCTTCGCCCGCTGAGGCAGGGGCGACGGTTCCTTCCCACTCGCACGCTCAGGTGCGGTGGGAGTGAGCGCGACGCTCGACGCGGGTCCTTGGGGCGACGTTGGCTTCTTCTTGGGAATCTGGCTAAATGATGCCACTACCGTTGACCGCTCCGGATATTGCAGATTCCTTACGAATAAAGGCCGATCCAATACACCCGGGCGATCCGGGGGTTTCCTAACGCGGGGGGGTGGGGGGGGTTCCCCCTTCCCCTTGTCCGACATGTTACGCTTTGGTTACTACTGTTTTGTTTTTGGTTGGTGTACGCGTGTCTTACGTCTATATACTTTACCTAGCAGGTTGACAGCTGATGCGCGCCGCGAGGTAAAGATGGGAGCGAAGGTGATGACGACCGCAACACTTGGGCGCACTGCCTACCCCTTTCACAACGAAAGGGTTGGGGGAAGTGCTAGAGGGCACTCAATTACGCGACTCGACACTGCAAGGCACGGAACGCTCTTGAGTGCCAAGAATCTACCTAAGGGCCGGTGACCTCGACGCCTCGCGGAGTATGCGGACTCGACGCTTAGCGGAGTATGTCGTACCGGCGGTTGATTGGGACCACTGTATAATCCACAAACAACACACACTTAGGAGATCCTTAGGTGGCGACAGTGGTGGTTCATCTCCTTGTGGAGGTTTTCATGTGTCGAGGAGACCCTCTTTACATGGGCGGCATCTCAGGAGGACACGACCCCCCGGTCCTGGGTGCTGCGTTGGCAGCTTATATGTAGGTGTATTGCGCACCTCGCGCCATCACGTCGAGTGTCGGGACGCTCACTCACCCCCGGCGTCCCCTGTGCCGGGCAGTGAGCGTAGAAGTTCACGTGGGAGTGGTCGCCCGTCAGGTGGGCGGGCGTGGAGGGGAGCAAGATTTTGAAGGTGAAGGTGTGGCCCGTTGTCTGCGCGGTCGAACAACCGTCTCGCAGAACGGACCACAAAATCGTGGATGGTTTCGACCTTGAGGTCGCGAGAAATGATGTCATTCCTGACGTAGCGACCGGCTCCCACGATCACCCGGAGCGCAAGATTTTGCTGGGCCTGCAACCTCTTGCGCTGAGTGGCCGAGGTCAACGCGTACCAGGCTGGTGCTGCGTAGGTCAGCCGCGAGCGGATGTAGGTTTTGTAGATACCTATTTTCGTTCTTGTTGGGAGTTTGGATGCCAGTATAGGGTATAGTTTCGCTCGCGCAGCTCTGGCCTGTCTCACAACGTGATTGACCATCGGGGTCATGCGCAGCGAGCGATCTATCTGGCATCCTAGGTACGTAATGGTACTACTCCAACCCACATCCTGCCCGCGGAGTTGCAGAGTTGGTGGTGTTCTGGCCAGCCTGGTCATGAAGGCGACGGTCTTCCCGACATTGACCGCCAGCCTCCATTTGTCCAGCCACTCAGGCAAGAGGTCGAGTACCCGCTGCAATTTCTTAGCAGCTATGTCCACCCGACGTGATGACGCGAAGTACGCACTGTCGTCGGCGTACAAGGCTAGGACAACGTCATCCTCCCATTCCTCCAGATGGCCTTGGAGGGTGGGGATGTCGTTGGTGTAGACCGCGTACAGGTGCGGTGATAGGCAGCTGCCCTGTGGCACTCCCGCAGAAATCGGTCGTGCCGCCGAAACAGCCCCTTCCAAGGAGACATGGAAGCTCCGCCCCTCCAGGAATGACGCTATTAACCGCACAAGCATGGGCGGTAAAGTGGTGTGCTGAATGAGTTTATAAACTAGCCCTGCGTGCCACACCCTGTCGAAGGCCTTCTCCATGTCGAGAAGGACCCCCACACAGATGCGGCCGAAGTTATATTCGGCCGCAAGATAGTGCAGCACGCGGGCCAGCTGAGAGGTTGTGGAATGTCCCCTGCGGAAGCCAAATTGCTCCTCACGCAGGGTGACATGTGGGAGAACCCTGTGCAGGGTGATTTTTTCAAAAAGTTTTGCTATGTGCGGCAATAGCGTTATGGGGCGGTAGCTGGCCGGGAACCTCCTGTCTTTTCCCGGCTTCGGCAGCACGATGATTCTGCCCTGCTTCCAGATGGTCGGGAAGTGGCCAGTCCGTAAGATGCCATTGTACAGACTGGTGAGTGCCACTATTACCCTTCTGGGCAGCTGCTTTATGGCTGTGGTGGTGATGCCGTCGTAACCCGGCGCTTTACGGCTAGGTAGGCGCATAATAGTGCGCCTTACCTCTGCTGGAGATATGAAATCGCCGCCTCGCAATGGCGGCGCCGGGTTAGAGAGGTATTCCCGTACGCGGTCCTCTATGCCTTGTACGTGGTCTGCGTACCCCTCTGCTATGCTGTTGGGTATGAACTGTTGTTCTAGGTGCTGTGCCATCAAGTCCGCTCTAGGTTGGGCGTCGTAAATCCTACTCCCCGTGCTGTCCACCAGTGGGCAGACAGGTGGTGGTGTCTTGGAGAGCTGCCGGTTGAGGAGATGCAGGGAGGCGGGTGTCTCCGAGGCTTCGTCGACTCGCCTCTCCCATGCTTCTCCCCTGTAAGCTCTCATTGCTTCCGACAGCTCTTCCGTCATAGCGTTTAGTTTAGTTTTTATCCGTGGGCATCGTGTCCGTGCCCAGAGTCTCCTCATCTTCCGCTTCTCGGACAGGAGCGTTTGGAGATTGCGTGGGAGTCCCTCCTTCCCGCGCCCCGTGGAGACAGGGTGAGAGTGGAGTTGGAGTTTATCTTTTATAGTGTTGTGAAGATGTAGGGCCGCAGTCTCCACATCTTCACTGGTGGTAATTGGGGCGCAAGGTTGGAAGTCCTCCAGCGCACTACGAAAGCGGGTCCAATTTGTCTTCATTCGGAGACTTCTGGGCACCATGGCATCCGCACTGGTGTCGATAGTAATCAGCACGGGGAGGTGTTGTGTATCTATGTCATACAATACTTCTAACCGTGTTGTATACGGCACTAGATGACACAGCACAATGTCAAGAACATCGGGCTTATGTTCTGGCTTTGTCGGGATATGGGTGGGCTCATCAGGGCCCAGCACCTCGTACCCCCACTTCTCGGCGTCGTCGAACAGTTTCCTGCCGGGTGGTGTGATCAGCGCGGAGCCCCAAGCGGGATGTTTCGCGTTGAGGTCTCCGGCGATAATTGCAGGTGTCGTGGAGTCAAATATGGTACGTATGTCTTGGGGGGCAAGTGAGGTGCCGGGAGGTCTGTAGGCAGCAAAGATTCTAATTTCTCTGGTGCCTACCCTCAGCCTTACACCCTTGGTTCTGGTGGATATAAACTGTGTATTGGTGCCAACTTCTTCGTGCATGACGTCCCTCCTCACAAGGACCGCAGTACCTCTGTACGCGATACCTTCTGAGGAGATCTCGTCATGTCGGTACACAAAGAAGTTGGGGAGTTTTAATTGAGCAGAGGGGCGCAGTTTGGTCTCCCCCAGTAGCACAATTTGGATATTGTGCTGCTGGACCAGGGTTCTCAGGTCGGCGACCTTCCCTAAGATGCCGCCGGGGTTCCAATAACACATCCTAAGTGGATGGCCTGCTGACGGAGGTTAACTGGGCTAAGGCCGTTAGGATGGCCGAAAGGGGGTTGGTGCCGGTGGTCATGGCAGTCAGGACCTCTCCTAAGATCCTGATTACCACGCCCACCAGTTGAGCGAGGGCCTCCTCGATGGTGGTTGGTGCCTGGGGCTGTAATGGGGGAGCGACAGTTATTGTCTTTTTGGGTGGGCGTTGATCTCGGGGTTGGAGTGCAGATTGCTCGTTCTGATTTGATGGAGGGAATGTATACCGCGGTTGTGGCAGTGATTGCTGTTGTTGTGTGGTAGTGGCGAGTGGAGGAAGAGGAGTCGAAGTACCACCCACTTGAGCTGGTTGGGTGGTTGCCTTCTTCTTCTTCTTCTTCTTTCCTCTCTTTTTCTTTGGGCGCTCTGTGCGCTCCGTGGCGTTATTCGCCGGTGGTGCTAAAGTCGCCCCGGTCGTAACAAATGTGGTTGGTGCAGGTGTGATTATTACCTGCCGCTGTTGCGGTTGCGGTTCCTGCCTTTGCAGGTGTTGCTGCTGTGAATATTGCTGCTGTTGGGGTGGGTAGTACTGAGGTTTTTGAGGTGGTGGAGGTTGCCAATGCGGTGCAGGTGGTTGGCTTTGTAGTGGGGGTGGTTGACGTTGCGGTGCTCGTGTTGTTTGCGCGGGGATAGGGGGTTGCATATTAATCCCCCTCTTCCTTGCAATTCGCTGCAACACTGGGCACCGCCTGTCATTCGCCGAGTGATCTTTCCCGCAGTTTGCGCATTTAGGTTGCGCATCCCGCGGTTGTGGGCATGCTGAGGCCAGGTGGTCACCTGCACAGCGTACACATTTGAAGGGTCGGTAGCAGTTGTAGGATGCGTGTCCGAACCCTTGACACCTGTGACACTGCGCAGAGCCAATTCTGCCTGTCCAGCCTTCGATTGTTACTCCCGGCATGTAAAGGAGCTCATCAATTTGGTATAATCTGTTGAGCTCTTCGGGGCTTAGGTGACTCATTTTCACGTGAAACAGGCAGCCAGGCCTGCCTCTTTTTGGTGGAATTGACCGTACAAATGTAACTGGAAAGCCCTTCTCTATGAGGGCCTCCTGTATGTCTTTAGGGTCGGTATCTGCAGGGAGCCCTCTTAACCCCACCTTCGTGGGTTGCTCCTCCTGTGGGGCGTAGCAATACCACACGAAGGTGGCATCCTCCTTGCTTTTATCGATGAGGTAGCGCTGGACCTTCCGATACTCGTCGTCGGACTGGGGCCGAAAACGGACTCCCTTCCCAAACGGGCGAGCATTGGGGGCGTGACCCAAAAGTTGGTGTATGATTTTGAAGTGCTTCGCCCAGTTGGGGAAGCACTCCACTATAATAGGAGGGTATTTGGCCTGGTTATTTACTGGCTGTTGTTCTTTCTGTGCAGGTGGTGGTGGAGGTGATGGTGGCGCTGACCTCGGCGCTGCTGCAATTTGCGCATAAGAGTCTGGCGCTGAAGATGGACCAGGTATGGGCTCCTGGTTTACAGGTTGGGAGTCTTGAATTGGGGCTAGAGTGGCGTAGGACGTATTGTCCCACTCTCTCTCTCCTTCCGGGTCTTCCTCACCGAAATCCTGCATGTCAGCGGTGCAGGCCGGAGAGGTGGTTGGAGACGGTGAGTTAGGCGGTCTGTTATGTCTTACCACAGGTTGTGGGGCTTGTATCTCAGGTGGTGTGGCAGAGGCAGAAGGCGATGCCGAATCAGATAGTGAGTCTGATCCGGCTCTCAGCCTTTTCTCCTCTTGCAGCTGGTCTTGTTCTATCTCAGGAGGTGTACGTCTCCGCGAGGCTAGGCTCCGGCGTGGTAATGGAGCCAGTTCTGCGCTCGGTGAAGACACAGCTTCACCTGCGCCGAGCGCGGCGCCGGGCGCCGGTATACTGCCTATTCGCCTCGGGAGTTGGCTGTAAGGTGGGAGCACTCTGGATCTCTCAGGAGCGAAGAGGTCTCGCTCCATGAGGGGCCTGTCGAGTACTCCCAGACGCCTATCAGGTGGTTTACGGCGTGTTGGGGGAGGTTCCCCCTTGTCCGACATTACTAATTAATTATGCTCAGCCCTTAGCTATCACACACCTTACTCCCCTCAGCGCGTGCAACCACACCGGGTGAGACCCGTGAGGGAGGCCCAGCGAGGCGCCCGCGAGCAGGGAGGGGTGTGTGAGGCGCAGATGGGATGGGCGTAATCTCACTCAAATGCGGAACACTTGTAATCACTTTTTGTTATAAAAAGAGGGTACAGTGTACAAAAAGGTAAAACGTAAAGTAGGGCACAGCGTAAGTAGTGACCTTTACGCTTACCTTATTAACAGTCCGACGCAGGAAATGCGCCAGCGACGCCTCAACGCCAAACGGAGCGAACTCGACGTCGGCGGAGTCAATCACTAGCACAACACGTACACAACACAGGAGCGCACTAGACACGTCCGCACTGTAGCACGGCCCGCGACGAACTGGTGGCGACACCTACGTTGTCGTCTGCTGAGGTGTGTGTACTACACCCAACAGGTCTCGGGCCTCGGGGCTGACCCCATTGCCCGGAATCTCCTCGCGGTGCATAACTATGCACCGGTCGTGGGAGCCGTTTCGGCATTGTTAGATGCTATAGTGATACGGGTTTGGTTCCCCGGTCACTATTTTCAGTTTAAAGTCTTCTTCCAAAAAAATTTTTTTTCAGGAGGCGGGTAATATGGCCCGCTCCTGAAAAACGTGGCATTATATGGCCTTTTTTCCTGAAAAGGCGCCTAATTCGGCCTAAGCCTGAAAAAGACGCCTAGTTCGGTATATGGTTATCTGGTAAATTTGTGTGTCAAGTCAATATGGCCGGCGGCTAATGCGGCCGGCCGTCTGGGTTGGCCTGTCTGCGGCATTGCGGGTTATTACTCGACTCTCTAATCTCTATAGAGAGGAGTTCTCTTGGCAGAGGTCGCCCGTCCGGTGGTCGAGCATGTAGGGGAGCAAAATTTTGTAGATGTTCGTGTGGCCCGTTATCAGCGCGGTCGAACATACCGCGCGCTAATCGAGCCACAAATTCCTTGATTGTTTCCATCTTAAGGTTCGCCGCGATGACGTCGTTCCGGACGTAGCGACCTGCACCGACGATGGTCCGTAGACTTAGGTTCTGCTGAACCTGCAGCCGCTGCCTCTGCCGTTCGCTCAGGAGTGCGTACCAGGCCGGCGCGGCATAGGTGATCTTTGTGCGTATGTATAACTTAAAGATTTTCAACTTTGTTCTCAGCGGTAGTTTGGATGCCAGGACCGGACGGAGCGCCGTCCGCGCACATCTGGCATTGCGGACGACGATGTCGACGTGCGCGGTCATGCGCAACATCCTGTCGATCCGGCACCCAAGGTAGGTCACGGCCTTTTCGTACGCAATCTCCTGGCCTCTAAGCGTCAACGGGGGCGGGAAGTTCCGGTAGCGGCGGGTGAGGAGGGCGGCCGTTTTCCCAACGTTTACAGCCATCCTCCACTCATCCAGCCACGATGGCAGCAGGTCCAGCAGGCGCTGCATCTTGGCGACGGCGAGATGGGGGCTTCTGGACGAGGCGAAGTAGGCGCTGTCGTCCGCATATTATAACGCCAGCTCCACGTCGTCCTCCCATTCGCGTAGATGTCCAGCCAAAGTAGGGATGTCATTTGTATAAGCCGCGTACAGGATCGGTGAGAGACAACTGCCCTGTGGTACGCCAGCTCTTATGGGTTTTACTGCGGATTCGGCATCTTCGACACAGACGTAGAAGCTCCGGTCGGCTAGAAACGACGCCACTAGCCGCAGCATAGCCGGAGGGACACTCGTCTGTTGTTCCATCTTAAAGAGTAAACCAGAGTGCCACACCCTGTCGAACGCCTTCTCGATATCGAGGAAGACGCCCAACGATGTGCGATCCCGGTTGTATTCGGCCGACAATAGGTGCAGCACTCTGGTCAGCTGTGTTGCTGCGGAGTGTCCGCTCCTGAATCCATGTTGCTCCGCCCGTAATTTGATACACGGGCGGATTCTTCTTAAGGTGATACGTTCGAATAATTTGGCTATGTGCGGTAGCAGCGTTATTGGTCTGTAACTAGCTGCTCTACGCCTGTCCTTCCCGGGTTTCGGCAGCACTATCACCTTTCCTTTTTTCCATTCCTCCGGGAAGTGTGAAGTCCGCAGTATGCCATTGTAGAGTCGTCCTAGCTCTACAATGGCTCTATGGGGCAGTTGTCGGAGTGCAGCGTTCGTAATCCGGTCGTGCCCCGGCGCCTTCCTCGGTTGCAGGCGGGAAATCGTCCTCCGCATTTCAGCGGGGGAGATGAACCATTCTCCTGCAAGCGGTGGCGCGGGCGACGACAGGAACTCCCGTACGCGGCTCTCCTTTTGGGCATGAAGCTCCATGTACTCCGCACTTGCTGGGTTCGGCATAAATTGCTCCTCGAAATGCTCGACTAGGATATCCGCTCTACCTTTGGCCTCGTAACAACGCCCGCCCGCGCTGTTGGTCAGCGGGCAGACGGGGGATCTGGTCTTTGTTAGCTGTCGGTTCAATTGATAGAGCGACGCTTCCTGATCTCCAGCCTTCCATATGCGCCGCTCCCAGGCCCTTCCTCTGTAGGCCTGTATTGCAACCGACAGCTCATCCGTCAGTGCATTTAATCTCGTTTTAATCCTTGGGCAGCGCGTACGTGCCCAGAGCTTCCTCAACGCTCGCTTGTGATTGAGCTGCGCACGTAGTTCTTGTGGCAGCTCTTCTCTTCGATTTGTTAGAGGGACGATCGTAGAGGCCGCGTTGAGGGCTTCTTGGATGTTGTTAGTTATTCTGGCAGCGGCGGTCTCTACGTCGTCCGCCGAGGTGATCGATGTAATCACTGGAGGCCTCTCCTGCAGGTGTTGCTGGTAGAGCCTCCAGTTAATCTTGGTAGTAAACGCTCTGGGCAGCGTAGTCACTGCCTTGAGGCCAAGTGTTATCAGAATCGGGAGGTGCTGAGACATCAGGTCATACAGCACCTCTACCACTACCGGGTAGTTGACGTTCCTAGCGAGCACAATGTCCAATACATCCGGACTTTTCCTGTGGTCTGTTGGAACGTGTGTTGGTTCTTCGGGACCTAAAACGTCATAGTTGTTTCTTTCTGCATCTTCGTAAAGTTCACGACCCGGCGGGTTGATCAATCTTGATCCCCATGCCAGGTGTTTTGCGTTTAGGTCCCCCGCGATGATGGTTGGTGTTGTGCCTTCCATGATCGTCCGGATGTCTGAGGAGTGAAATGGAGTCCCTGGCGGACGGTATGCTGCGAAGATCCTCAGTTCCTCGCCCGCCGCCTCCATTTTTATGCCGATGGAGCGCGTCGTATGGTATGACGGTAATCCGAGCTCTAGGTGGACGATGTCCTTTCTCACTAGAACCGCCGTGCCTCTATAGGCGGTTCCTAGAGCGCTGACCTCGTCCCTCCTGTAGATGTGGTAGTTGGGCATCTTCACTTGCGTAGATGGCCTCAACTTTGTCTCCCCCAGCAAAATTACGTGTATGTTTTGTTGTTGAGCTATAGTGCGGAGTTCATGGAGCTTGTACTGGATACCGTCCGGGTTCCAGTATAGCAAGCGCAGGTTCGTATCACTCGCCTCTGTAGTGCCGAGCCAGTAGTGTCGACAGTGCTTTCATCACTGCTGTTATTGGGTCGGTGCCAGCTCTGACGTCTGCCAGTACCTGGCTACCGACCTCTATGGCGATGCCAACCAGCCTCAGGATTGCGTCCGTGGTGGTAGAGTTGGCGGTTGGTTGTCTTGATGTAGAAGGTACTGGTCTCGGCTGGGCATAGGTCTCTTTTCTTAAGGTAGAGCGCGCTCTATGTGTAGAGCGGGCTCTATTTTCTGATAGAGCCCTTTCTGGCGCTCTACCTTCTGTAGTGGTTATCTTCTTGATTGCCTGCGCTTGCGAGGCTATCATTACTGTTGGTGTCGGGGTAGAGGTCGCTGCCTGAGGAGGAGGCTGCACCTTCTTCTTCTTCTTCCCCCGCTTTTTCTTCCTAGAGGGTTGCCTCTCAATGGCGTCATTGGCGGGGGGCTGTAGAGTCGCCCCGGTGGTTGCTCTTGCAACTTCCACCGTTTCTGGTACTGGTGGTGCAGGTGGTGCAGTAGCGGGTGGGGGGGGGGCGTTTTGCCTCCCTCTCCCCCTGATGGTTGCCCACCCGTCCTCTTGGATTTCAACCCTCGGGCGACTCTGAGGGACCCTCTGCGGTGCTTCCGGCAGTAAACCCGGCAGAGTGATCCCTTGCTTCCTGGCGATCCTCCTCAGGACTGGGCAGCGTCTGTCGTTAGCTGTGTGGCTTTTTGCGCAATTTGCGCACGTCGGTGGTTCTTCTCTACCCCGTGGGCAATTACTTGCAATGTGTTCCCCTGCACAGCGGACACATTTCACGGGTCGATGACAGTTGGCAGATGCGTGGCCAAAAGCCTGGCAACGGTGGCATTGAGCCGGTCCCACTCGTCCTTGCCAGGCTTCTATGACGACTCCTTTCATGAAAAGGAGCTCGTCGACTGCGTACAATTTATTCAGGTTCTCTATGTTCAAATGGTCCAGCTGTGCATAGTAGAGGCACCCAGGTCTGCCTCTACGGGGCGGGATCGCTCTCACATAGTTAATTGGAAATCCTTTTGCCCTGATAGCCTCGGCGATTTGGACGGTATCCGTGCCCACTGGCAGCCCCCGGATGCCCACTTTAGTGGGCTTCTCCTCCGCCGGGGTGTAGCAGTACCACGACAACGCTGGTACTTTCTCGGTGAGCTCGACGAGGTATCTTTGTATTGCCCGGAATTCTTCCGGGCTCTGTGGGGTGAATCTGACACCCTTCCCGAACGGACGAGCGTTAGGTGGATGTCCTAATTTTTTGTTTAATATTTCGAAGTGCTTCGTCCAGTCCGGGAGGCACTCCGCAACGATCGGTGGGTATCGCGCCTTCTCTTCCTCTTGTTGGGGTTGAGGGGCTTCTGTTGTCGGTTTCGGTACTGCTGGCATCGCTGCCAGTTGGGCGTAACTGGTAGACGGCCTT